AAAGAGAGAGAGTATAGGTCGGTTTTGATGGCGGCCGTGTTGGTGTGAATTGTGCAGAGAAGGGGTAGAAGGAAGAAGAAGCGGGTCAACTAGAAGGTGGCAAATGTATGTGGGGTGTTAGAGAGAGCATATTATAGTGGGAGGGGCTATTGGTATTGGGTGAGGAGGCGTATCGTTGCGGAGGCGGAGGAGGGAAGACGAGAGCGGAGAGCGGGTGTCAAGAGAGTGTGCAATGTGTGGGGTAGAGGACTACAGGCATTATGTGGGTCGGGGTTGAAAAGATGCGACCGTACGTGGGGTATTGGCTCAGGGCGGTGGCGGAGGGTTGCATGAGCGGATGTGATGTTGGGTTCCTGAAAAGGGGTGCGTGTGGTGCGGATGCATGGCGGCGTGGTTGGATGGGTAGCAGTGGGCTGTGGGGTACGTGCGTGGTTGGGCCGTTGGTGGCGTGGGGGGCGCGGCGGTGCACTGCCGAGGCGGGCGTCTGTGTTCTAGCAGTGAGGCGCGTGCCGCTGCCCATTGGTCGGCCGCCGCCGCAGCGCCGAGGCGGCCGGGCGGAGTTGCGCTCGCTCGATGGCCGATTCCTCCGTTCGACGCTAACTCCGGCGATGGGGTGGCGGGGTGGAGAAGACGAGACAGCCTCGTTTACTTCGAAGTTGGTATAAATTTTACCTGTCTCTTGAATGCTGGAAAGCTGCTAGCTATGCCTGGCAGAAATAAGTGGGCAGGATTTTAACACAGGGTTTGTCGCTTTCAGTTGACCACACATGGTGCTGATGAGAAGGGATATTGTTTAACTATTTAGGGAACATGTTTATTGAGCTGGAGATGCTTAGTGGCTCTTTGGGCTTTTTTATTCGCGTGTCAGGAGTTTTCGTTGTGAATTTTATTAGTGTATAAAATTAAGTTACGTTGGGACAGGAAGAGCTATTTTTTAAATGTGAATTTAACCAAGAACTCTATTTAGAAATTAAATTATCTGAGATATAATTTCCGCTCAGCTGCTTCGTAAGATGGCTTGAGAAAAACCGATTTTTAACGAGCGTGGATAATTGAATTTTTTTGATTACATTTTGTAATGAAACGTATGCGTTTTCAATATGCGTTTAATAATGAATTTTATTGATTTTACGAGTACGTGAATATTTTCCAGTATTGAAGCGTGAAAGAGTCGATGATAAAGGAGGTGTGATTAAAGGCCTGGTTTTTTTTTTCCTGGGCAGGTCAGCCGCAGGTTGTCGTCCCGTTAGTGGGCAGAGAATACTTATTGCGGCGCGAGTGGCGGTGTTTTCCGCCCGCTGGTAGACTTCACGTCAGCTTCCTCTCTCAGGCTTTCGTCACCACGGCCTCAATCAGTCAACCACTTGCAACCCGCAGGTGCAGTACATATGGTGGAGTGCATCTTGTGTTTAAGGTAAGGGTGAGATAGTGATAAGAAGAGGAAGGAAATTGGCGCGCGGTCGGTGGTTGTTTGTTAGGGTACTGCTCTGGTTCACACTGGTATTGTTGCGGGGAGTGCACTGTACGAGCTCTTTGCGTAGTATCGTTCAGCATACAAAGTCAGGCTGGAAAAGAATTTTTTTAATGATGTAAAAATGCGTCGGAACTTGCGTGACTCACGTTACAATATTTAAGCTTAATACCCGATATTTTAGATAATTGTGATAATAACTTTGTTTAAATGTATTTTATCTGTTTTGGTATTTCAGTCCATTTCACGATTCATGTTCAATCCTGGCGTGATACAAATTTCTTCAAGCAAGGTGTACGTTTAATCTTATGGTCTGTGTAAAATAATGTTTAATGACGAACGCTTTCTCATTTTTGGGGAGATTTAATGGAAACAGCGATCCATAATATTGAACCGTTGGTAAGCGATCGTGCAAACAACTGTTCGTCACGATGAGCGCATAGCTGGAGTGGTCGGCGAGTGACGGGCGCTTCGCGCGGGCGCGCGCCCCGGTTGTCGGCCGCGCGGAACAGATATTAGCGCGCCGGGGGCAGCTCACCGATCATTGGTCGCTGCGCGCGCCAAGGCGGGCCGCGCAAATTCCGACAGCCCCGGCTCATCCGCTCCCCGCGGCGATACGCCGGCGCGACGGAGCGCGCCCCTGCGAGCGTCGCGAGCAAGTGGCTGGGCGGGCGGGCAAGCGACTGGCCAGCTCTTCGGGCAGGGCGTTGCGGTCTTGGACAGATCATTCACGTGAACCGATGCAATTTTCTCGTGTTCCTTTTGCGCAATTGAAACTTTCAATTTTACACATGCCTTTAACGTCTTGCATTGCGTGATTGGCTCGGTTCCTCTTAGCTTCGATGTAGGATTTTCTATTGCGGTTATGGTAATCTATAGATTGTTTACGCGTTATTGACAAGAACGGTCATATGCACTGTGCAGTAATCAGAATTGAGTTAATTGAGCTCGAAACTCAAGAATCTTCTTAAGAGCCAGTTGAATATTGGACCTTTCTGAATGTTACATTAGACTTGGGAAAGAGTCGGACGAAAAACCGTCGGGACTATTCCGTTCTTTTGTCGTAATTTTTCAATTTACCCATTACTGTGAGCCATAGTCCGTAAATTCAGTTGTTTTAACTAACTTACATCTGTGCACTTAAACACTTCGACAGTCCAAATATTCACTGGTCGTAAGAACAGTCCTTGTGTTTCAGCTCGATA